GTGATGTCACTTAGCCTGATATACTGATAGCAGCATGTCTGAAGAAAAACATCAGGTATATGTCACAGTACATGAAGGAATATCAGGCAGTACACTTATTAGCACTTGCCCTCAGGTTTAGTTGCTAGGCATTAAACAAGATAATGTCTACTAAGAGATGTTTGCCCCCATTATTTGTTTATGTTTCAGTCTGCTGTTAGCTTAGCCTTAGACCTTTTTATTTTTTATCATATGCAAAAAGATATCCTTATCAGTGTTTACTAGGTAGTAGAGTATGTTCAAGTTATAACATTTAGACTTTATAAGTACTTTGATTCTTTTATACTTTAGGACATACTTGTGACAAGTATTATGCATGTTATGGTACTTCTTTTTTCATAAATGGTATTACTCATTTTAAAATCTTTTTTAGGGCAGGTGTGGTGGCTCACACCTATAATCCTAGCAATCTGGAAAGCTGAGGTGGGAGAATTGCATGAGGCCATGAGTTGGAGACCAGTCTGGGCAACATAGTAAGACCCTGTCTCTATGAAAAATAAATAAAAACATTAGCCAAGCATGGTGGCATGTGCCTGTAGTCCTAGGTACTTGGGAAGCTGAGGCAGGAGGATTGCTTGAGTGCAGAAATTCGAGGCTGCAGCAAGCTATGATCACACCATTGTATTCCAGCCTGGGTGACAGAGCAAGACCCTGTCTCAAAAACAAAAAAGAACAACTTTTTTCTTGTTGAGTTTGTAATCGAAGGTCTAATGGTAGGACGTTAATGACAGAAAAAGTATTTTATGTTTTTAAATGGCAATTTTTGTGTTTTTGTTTTTCTCCTTTGTATATGGAGAGATAATTAGGATAGATACTATTAAACATGAATTGCAGATAAAGTAACTAAGCCTTAGAGATTTGGTTTGTCCAAAGTTACATAGCTAGAAGGTAGAAGACTGAAAAGCTGAATGGAAAAAATGTCCACTCATTTGGATTATACCATACCTTTGTACAATTCAAAACAATGGTAAACACATTTTATATTATTTTTTCCTTATATATTATTTGTGTAGACTGTATATGTTAGTCAGAGGTTGATCCTTATTAAATAGCTATAGACACATGTTTTCTATGTTGCACATTTGAAAACATAATACATGAAATGAGTTTTACATGTTTCTGAATTTTTTTATTTTACACGTTTACTCATATAATTTTTTTTTTCATACTCATGTTTTGTATGGAAGAGAGATTTCAAAATGTATTTAGTCATTAATTAAAGTGGATTAGAGTGGATTAAAGTTGTAGAACTTTGATTGTTAGAACTCAGTAAACTCAACAGGTATGGCAAAGAAATAGGGAAAAAGTGTGAGGTGAAAATAGCAAGTAAAGAACTCTATAAAGGTAATGACACAGTGTGGATCGTTTTTCAGGGTCAGTGAAGCTAAAGAAGAAATATTTATCCCCTTACCGGTGGTTCTTTGAGCTTGCCCAATACCTATCTTCTATATTACAAAGGAGGAATTTCCTAGAAGTTGAGCTCAGAAATCATTTCTAAGGTTGTTTGAAGGAGGTTTAAAACTCTATGGATGTGCCCATGTTTGCCACGTGTGTTATACAGTTTTTAAAAATAGAATTGAAATTTTACTTTATTCTAAAAAGTAAACTTCTGTGATTTACCTTGATTTTGCAGAATGAAGTTAACAAGTTGGATAGCCTGTTAAGGGTTTTATTATCCTGTTAATTGCCTACTTTGTGTGAATACAGATTTTATCTAGTTTGAAAGAATTTATTTTAAAGGTACATTATTTTGTAAAGAAAATAGATATTCACTCCCTCTGATGATATTGCATAGCCCATTGAGAAAATAGATTGACTTATTGTTTTATGATTTTTCTTTGATGATAACATTTTGCTTACTCTTGCTGTTATAGAAAACTTTTATTGGAAGCAATAATAACTGATCCCAAGAAGAAAATTTTATTTCCTTTTAATTTTATGATTTTGCATTTAAAAAAATGTGTATCTAAACAAAAGTGGTAAAGATGATGATTGCAAACTGCAATTTAATGACATTAAAGAAATTAATGAGTTTTGATTCCTTTACTTGTGTGCTGTAGTCTAGTTTCTTTAAAATCTTTTTTTTTTTTGGCATTGTTTTATATGACTTTCAGATTGTATTAAAGTTCACTATTATAAAACCTTTGCATAGCGTAAGGATTTGGGCTGGTCAGGGTGGCTTGTGCCTGTAATCCCAGCACTTTGGAAGGCCAAGGTGGGAGGATTTCTTGAGGGCAGGGGTTGGAGACCAGCTTGAGCCACATAGGGCATGGTGAGACTTTATCGCTAAAAAACAAACAAACAAACAAACAAACAAAACATAAAAACAATAGCCAGGTGTCTGCACCTGTAGTCCCAGCTAATTGGGAGGCTGAGGCAGGATTGCTTGAGCCCAGGAGTTTGAGGTTTCAATGAGCTATGATAATACCACTGCACTTTAGCTTGCACAACAGAGCAAGACCCTGTCTCAACAAAAAAAATTAAGGATTTGCTTGAGGCAGCTTATGTTAGTCATAGTTGCAAACCAAGTTTTTAGTTTTCTGCCCATTATTAGGCTATTTTAATTATGAACAAGATAATTACATGTAATATTGACCTATAATGACATCTAGTGAATTAATGTTGGTAATTTAAAACTATTTACTAGTTTTATATGGTTCTTTTCTTTCTTGTGGGTGATTTGGTTGACTCGGTATTTATTTATTTATTCATTTATTTGTTTATATACTGTGGTTTTTTTATTTTAATTTGGATATCTTTGGTGGTTGTGAGAGGTCATTCTCCAACTTAGGCTCCTATTGTCTTTTTCGTGTATAACCAGTTCAAATAATCACATGATCTTACATTGGATGCATATCAACTTACCTATGTGGTTAAGACTTTTGAGAGATGATTATCACTGATACATGTTTCTCATAGTGGCTTTTTTGGTGTCATCATTTATCAGGGGTTACTTTGGGTGCCCCTTAGAATTTGCCACCAGGACTCTCCTTTTAGAATAAACTTGGTCAAAAGTATCCTGGGATGGTTGTTATTTGGTTATCTTTAAAAGTGACCTATCTTGAGATGTAATAAATCTGTCTTAGGAGATTGGAGAAATGCCCAAACCTAAAGATGTGTATATCAGGACTAGAATTAAATTACAGTCTATTTCATTACTATATAGGCGTTAAATAGTTTCTCTGAAGAATATGTTAACATAAGGGCAGTGTCTTCCTTTTTAGAAGAATGGAAATGGGGTAATGTGAAGTCAGTATGTGGGAAACCATTTGGGAAAAAGAAAGCCATTTAGGAGTTGTGACTATTGTCCCTAGAGAAGTGCTCTTTATTGTAAGCCATCAGTTGTTCAGCATGGTTTTTTATACTGCAGATGAAATTATCTCTCAGAACTTTTCAATTCCTCTTTATTGGATTCTGTGTTTATCAGTACTTTGTTGGTATAATACAGTCTTCTATGTGTGTTGATGCTGAGAAAGAATTATTCATGATAATGAGTGTGACATTACTTACTAGTGAGTTTGGTTGGTTTGTTGGGCACTGAGAGCTTCATAAATGCTAAGTTCGTAGACAAAATGGAGTTTTAGGATTTTTAATGATGAGAACCTGATCTTACCAAAATGTCACTGAAGTCCTGTCTGAATTTCTGGTTGACTTACGTCTTTGACGTCTAATCTACTCTTTATAACCTCAAAATCAAGGAAAATATTTTGACTTTATAAAAATTTTAGGCAGATCTGGGAGCCCTAATAAATTTAAATGTATAGTTGTTCCTTAGTATATGCTAGGGAATGGTTCCAGGACCGTGTATACCAAAATTATGCATGCTCAATTCCCAGAGTTCATTCTGTGGAAACTAAGTATATGAAAAGTTGGCCCTTCATATATGTGAGTTTCCTTCTGTGAATACTGTATTTTCTACTCATGTTTGGTTGGAAAAAATCTGCACGTAAGTGGACGCACACAGTTCAAACCCATATTATTCAAGGGTTAACTGTAATTTGTAACTCCAGACATATATATTTGAGTTAATAAAGAAACTTTTTGCTTTTCATAATTGAAAGGTAGTTGAAATATATCATGTCCTATTCTTAAATGTAAAGAACTATGCTGAATTGTCTTGTTTTGTTAGGTGTGATCATAAAGATGTTTAAAGATTTTTATCATATTATCTGCCTAAGTAATTCATCTAAATCCTCCCAGAATATCGAGTTTAGTGAATGAGAAGAGGACAAAAGAGAATAATCTGTTGTTTTCATTCATTTCAGTTTTGGAGCAATTTTCACAGAAGACAGAAGAATTTTAAATTTTTAAAGAGATTAAATACTTCATGTAGTTAGAGATTGGCTCAGTTGTGACTGGAACTTAGCTTGTCTAACTCTAGCTTGAACTTTTCAAATTGTTTTATAGCTTTAATTTATGTGTGCATGTATGTTTCTGTATTACTTTCCTTTTAATAATATTTACTTTGGATTTATGGGTATATGAATTTTTGTTATAATCTGCCACCTCCAAAACTAGATCAAAGGCTTTTTTGTTTGTATGTTTGTTTTTCTTGAGCTTGGTCTTTTATATATATATTCTAGTACTTGGTACAAAGGGAGCTAAAGAAATATTTACTATCCAGTAGTTCGTTAGTCTGATTTCTTTTTAATGACAGTTCGTATTTTTATATTTTAAAAAAATTAAAAAATTATTAACTGTTTTCCCTTCCCACCTTTAATGCTTTTCCAGTACAACTAAACCACTTTAAAATGTCATTTATTTCATCATATGTATTATATTAGGTGAAAAAGTATTTTTATAATATGATTTTACTTCTGTGCTTTAATATTCTTATAAACAATTAGTTTTTCGGATTTTTTTCTCTGCTCGCTTCCCCTTTTCCTTTTTTTCTTGTGAAATTATAAATGTGAGTTCAAAAAAGTGAATCCTATTTAATTATACTGTTTCTTTTTTTTTAGGTTGTTATGGAGTTGATGGAGAGAGTGACTCTATTATGAGTTCGGCTTCTGAAAACTCCACTGAACCTTGGTTTTGTGATGCCTGTAAATGTGGTGTTTCTCCTAGCTGTGAGCTATGTCCTAATCAGGATGGAATTTTCAAGGAGACAGATGCTGGAAGGTTGATGTCTTAATTATGTTGGGTTCATATGCCTACTTTATAATGTGTCTGCTTTTGACTACCTTATTTTTCTATTTATGATTTTCTGAGTTATACACTTTCATTTGATTGCTTTTATCATCTTGGCATAGAATAAATGGCCAGTAGGCTAGAGATGGGGAAAGGAGAGGGAGGAAAGACCATATATTGAGTACTTGCATTTGCCTTTATACCCATGATCTCATTTAATCTTAATAATGACCCTATGATGAGGCAGGTGGTAACATTTTTTATAGGTGTAGTACCCAGGGCTCAGATCATTTAAATAATTTATTAGTTCAAGGCCACAAACTGGTGAATAGTTAAATTTGAACCCAGATCTGTCTTGTCAGACTTTAAGAGTATATTAGGAGATAGAACCTATACAGTGATTTAAAAGGGGGAAGTGTAGTATACAGAATTATTAAGCTGTGATCAAAGAGTAACCATGAAATATAAAAGAACTCTAAAGGATACTCTGGGGCTGAAGGAGATTATCCATGAAAGACAAAATTGGGAGGATGACCTCTTCCCTTAGGTTGGGCTTCGGACTTTGTCGGTGAAATCGTAGCTATAGCCTACTGGGTAGCAGAGAAGTATGCTGGTTTGCTTGGGCCAGAGTTGGTCTGCAGTTCTTGGCAAGTAGGTAGCTGGTACAGTTTGCAGGGGGAAGCTAGGACACTGGTTTGAAGCCTGGACCATGTGCGTCTATGTTGAGAGGGCCGTGTAAAATGATCTCCAGGTTGAACCAGGCCTGTGAGGTCACTGAAGGACTGTGTGTGTGGCTGGGGCAGAGCGCATAATAAATTCTCTGCCCATCTCTGCTGAGAAGCCCCCTACCTCCTACAATGCCCTCTGCCATTGAACTTATGTGAGGCACTTATAGTGCCCTCTACTGTTGAGCTTCATGTCATGCTGACTGTGAAGGAGAACTGCTAAAGAAATTGTACCCATTATTGCAGAGCAGGTATTGAAGTATGAATTTAGAGTTGAGAAGCACTAAATTGATAACTGGTAGAAAGACCTGTGTTTTTTTCACTACATTCACACTCATGTTTGTTATCATGTTTTAGCAGTTGTCATCATAATGGTGTTGACATCTTTCATGTTTTTTTCCAGGAGACTACCATTTGGGGTTGGTGACTTAAATATAAGAGGAGTTTTCAACCTTTTGTATTTTGTATAGATTACTCCCCTTCCCTGTCTTCCCCAATATAAGAGGGGGGTCCTTAAGTTTTTATTTTGCCACATAAGGATGTTTCATTATTTTTATTAAACATGTTTAATATTATATAGACAATCTATATAAATTATCACTATCATCTTAACATTGAAAAGGGTAGGATACATTTTGTCCTAAAATAAAGGATAGGCTTTTAAATTAAATAAATTTTACTTTACTAAGGCAAAAAGTATTTTTATTTTTCTCATTTTTGCCTCAGTTGGTGGACAGGCCCTTGAGAAATGTTGCCATACAAGATTGCTGGGAGAGCATAGACTCTACTATGGAATCTTGGCGAACCCTGTGTGTTGATGTCCAGGAAAACTGACTGGAAATCTTCCTTCTCATCCCCCATCCAAAAATAAAATAAAATAAATATGTAACAGATATTTTGATATATTGACATGAATCTGTGGTCTACGCCATAGACGTGGGCATTATTTTATGTTTGGACTGACTTTGGCTTAGAATTAGGGAGTTTAGTAAGTATTAAAAATGTGTACTTTCAAGTTGGACTGCCTGTATTTGGATTCTGGTCTTTTTTTTACTATGATTTTAGATAAATGATTTAACATTTTTATACCTCTGTTTCCTTAGCACTGTTTGGAGGATTAAATGAGATGATTTATGTAGAACAATTAGTACAGTTTCGTGAACATAGTAAATGGTCCTTACTCCTCCTACTGCTGCTGCTGCTGCTGCTAGTGCTTCCTCATTACCAATATTGCTCTACTTATTTAAGGTAATCATGGAGTACCAGCTGCTGCATACATTTTTTTGGTAACTCTTCAATCCTTAGAGTTAAAATTTATGGTGATAAATTATGATAAATAAGTAAGGCAACTTTGGAAAACACAGAGCTTACTTTTAGGGAAGAGAATTTTTTTTTCTTACTTGTTAATAATTTACAAGTTCTATTGAAAAGTTGTAAAGTAGCTGTCTTTTCATGCTATCATAATCCACAAAGCAACTTGTAAAGTTGTTTCTAAATGAAGAAAAGTGACACCTCTTTACCCATTTAGATTTGCATTTGTATTGGCTACCTTGGATATTACACCTCCCTTGGTGGTACAGCCTGGCAAAAATTCTTTTATGTATAATACTATTTGAACACTTTATTTGTGTTGATGTCCACATTCACCTATAGGCTATAGTGGAAATTTTAGGCCTTGATATATTTTGGAGGTTGTGGTTCTAACTTGATTCAAGGCATAAAAAGCCAAGAAAATTTGACAAGCCTTTTAGTATTCTATCTTGAAATGGAAAGCAGGGGAAAAGAAACAGTAATGTATGGAAAGAATGGAGAAGGTTTTGAGGTTGACTTATATCACATGGGCTTAATTAGACTTTTTCCCCTGTATTCTTGATGGGAGCTGAAAGTTCTGCATAGAAAATAGTGTGATTTAGTGTTAGAAAACTATCAGTACCTTCTTGTTAAATTTTTATATCTTTTGGTGAGATTTTATCCTGTCTTAAGTGTTCTTATAAACCTGATTGTGGGAAATATTAGACTTACTCTTCTTCTTCATGTCCTTTATTGGTTGTCTATTGTGGATGAAATGTGGCTCTGAACTAAATTCTTTAATTTTTAAAATAAACATCATGGTGCTTCTTTAAGTCTCAGTTCTATCACTTGCTAGCTCCTTTAAGTTTCGGTCTGTCACTTGCTAACTTTATTATATTTGAAAATCATTTAATCCTTCTGAACCCATTTCTTGATATGCAAAATGAGAATAACAATCTTCCACTCCCCAGAAGCTTTTAGACTTTTTTTTCTTGTAGTTAACCTTTTTTGAGTGAAGACAGTGAGTGAGACACTATGCTATAAGCACTTCACGTATATCTTTATAACTTTCAGACTGCCTTTGTGTTGCTCCATGCCTAGTAGACACTTAGTAATTGATTACTGAATGAAGAAGTGAAGGACTGAAAATAATATACTGCAAGTGAATTTGTTTTATAAGCTGTAAAGGCACTACAGATACAAGGCATTTCAAAATCTAATTTTATTGATTAATATAGTTTCCATTCTGAAAGGAGAGTCTTTTGAGAAGTATTTTTCTACTTAGTCTGCCTTATTAAAATATATAATTTAAAAGAATCTGTTAGTAGTTTATGCTAGAATGACAATTCTGACTCTTTGTTTTTTGGTGGTTTTATGTGATACTTGTTTTCTGTTCCTTTCCCCAATCAACATCTGTCATCATAGCTGCAAGCAAAATCGATGGTAAAGTAACAAGGAAGATTTTTTTTTTTTTTAATTTTCAGATTTGTCTTAATTACAAAGTTCTGAAGTATGTGCAGCTAAACAAATGAGCAAAAGACTATTTACAGGTGGTATTAAAAAGGATCAAAATTGTCTTGGCTGTGATTTTCACTGACTTTGATATGTGTTTTAATAAGGACTCAAGTTGGTATCCTTACATGAGTGGTTGGGGGAAATGATACACTTGTGTGCCAATCACACTGAAATGGCAGTTTAAATTTGTAGTATTTGTGTGACTTGTACCAAAACATTTCAAGAAGATCAGTATGAAGCAAGCAGCCAGCTGTTGGGTTTATCAAAGATAAACTCCTACAGAGTACAGCGACATTTAATACATCAGTGGAGCATGAAAAAACTGTGCAAATTAAATTGAGAAAGCAGCTGCTTGTTGAAGATGTGTATCTTTATATTGAACTCCACAGGATATATTTGGGAGGTTGGATTACAATGTAATATCAAGAAAATCTCAAAACCTTGGATTTTTTACCAAATAAAAAATAACTTTTAAGAAGATTTAAAAGTATTTTTCCTGGTACCACTATAGAATGATTCTTAGTCTTAGTCCTTTAAGACTCATAATGTATCACAAAACCAGAACCATGTAGCATTCACAGCATCTTAAATTGTGATAAAGCCAAATTTGTTGTTAACATATTCACAAGGTTAATAAAGAGCTACCATCTCATTTTTATACCCTTTCTTACAAAAGTCATATAGATCTGATGTTTAAACTTCAAAGTCAATGAGCCCACATTTTGGTTGTAAGCAAACAGAAAAGGTGCCTAGTATACTAAAAATGGCTCAGAGCAGTTTTAAAAAAATGAAATTAGAATCGACTCCCCCCATTTTTTAGTGTGGTGAAACTCTGAGCGTTCTTTGTTACATCATTCAGACTTTAAAAAATATTTATATTTAGCACATATAAATTTTAGTACATAAGTTGTACAATAAACTTTAGCACATAAGTTGTACAGTGAACAGATGAGGTGAATGAAAATATGACTTGCTTATATTATTATAACTTTGATCTGTACCTTCTTCCAGCAATCGGTTTTAACCTGGAAAGAAAGAAAGTCAAGCTGTATACAAAAACTGTTTTAAAATATGTCCTTAAAGATTACCTGTCAGCTTTTGGAAAAGAGTAACAAGAAAGCAATTTTACCTAATTACTGCAGAGTAACTTCACCCTTCTTAAATTAGGATCCTTAATTCTCCAAGTGCTTAAAATAATGTGAATGTGAATACTTTTCCATGCATATGAAAATGATGTTTTGTTTCATTTGAATAGTTGTTTTATGCAAATATTTAAGAATAGCAGTTAAGTGCAAAGTGCAGGGAATTTTAGTGGAAGGTAATTATAGTTGTTAACTCTCAGTTTTGGCTAAGCTACTGGAAAAGTAATTGTAGTCCCTTTTCTGTTATCATTCTATAGGTGTTCAGTATTCTTTAGTTATGTGTCTGAGATTACGAGATTTTAACATGTGATCACAGAATTATTACAGTAGTATTTTGAGATGGCACATGTTTTATATGTTTGTTTTCCATGTGAGAATTTCATAAAAGGATCTGATAGCAAAATCATATTTTCTCTCATAGATGGGTTCATATCGTTTGTGCCCTGTATGTTCCTGGAGTAGCCTTTGGAGATATTGACAAATTACGACCAGTGACACTAACAGAAATGAACTATTCCAAATATGGTGCAAAGGTGAGACAAAGTGTTTTTTGATTGTCTAAAAGAGAAAGTTTTTATGTGTTAGTTTACATGACTTTTTATTTATATCATTGTTGACTACAGAAATGCTTATTAGTAATCATGCTGTTTAGCACTAAAACATTTATTATTGATAGTAGTTATCCCAGAATCCCAATAATGTATAAATTTTCCCACATATTCTTAATTTATAATAACTCATG